ATGACGATGATGATGATGATGATGATGTCAAGTGGCCGTTTGCAAGGCCTTTCCCCTTTGGCAGGGGCAATTGGCGAGCCGGGCCCTCGCTGCTCTGGAAACTCTGACAGGACTCAGCTCTTGACATTACTTGGATGTGACGACCTGGCTCCAGAACTTCAAGGGAAAGTACAGTGGGGTGGCGATACCCCGCCAGAGCGAACTATTTAGGACATGACAAGCCTCTTCATCGTGTGCAAACATACCTTTGCACAGATACGCCGCACCAACACACGCGAATCCACACAAAAGGGTGTGGCCAAATATGTGGATACTGTATACACACGCACATACACCCGTCTCTGCCTGCATGATCCTGCATGTATGTTTGCTATGCATTTTATGCATATGAATGGATTTACATACACACATGCACACTGAGCACATATGGTTTTTGGGTATATTTTCATGAATATGCAAACTCGCCCAGTTCGTCCGAGATACGGAAGCTGACTCGTGGCCGTTGCCATTCAGGCAAGGCCTAAACCAAAAATGGACGCTACCGCTGCTTGGCCCAGGTTGCGCTCTTCCAGAAGCTTCGAAGCTTTGGGTCGGATTCTCGATGCTAAAGCCTCTTATTGTATGGACGAAAACAGCATGCAGATGAACGCAGGTGTGCACCTAGGCATGCATGTGCGAGCATGCAGTGTCTTTGCAAGAACTACCTGCAGGACGAGAGGATCTGGCAACCACAAATCACAAGCAGTCATGGGGTCGATGGTTTGTCCTGTATTCGCGAAGTCCAAGAGGAGCAACACACCGGGCCGAGATGAAGAACAGAAAATGGCTCAAGGCAGAGCTTGGAAAAGAACGACAGCGGGAACGAAAGCTACGAAGAAATCCGGACGGCATATAAGCACTGCAGCCCTCCTCAACAAAAAGTACAGGCAGAGAATGCCAGGAAAAGCACAAGGAAGCAACGGGTAACGTAGCAACGATAATGCAAGAGTCTGCCAACAAATGCCGCAAGCATGAGTGAGTGGTTGGGTGAGTGAGCGACTTGCTGCGCGCCGCGGATCGGGATGTAGCCGAGTGCACCCATTCCTGCCGGCTTAACGTCATTGGTCATTGACCCCACTGGAGTTCTTGCAAAAAAAGCGCAAACGATGATCCGAGGTGGACAGGGGTGGGCTGTTTGCCTTAGCTAGGTTCACAGGCTCCCTGGCTGGCTGAGGTTTGGGACATCAGATGACATTGGTCGACTCATCATACCTCCTCGCTTCCAACAATGCAATGAGCACGCTTCCCTTAGACCTTAGATTCCTTAGATGGCAGTCTCCATCACTCTCCCCGGCGTAGAAGATCAATTGAACGAGCTGGGTTTGAGGACGACGGCTCCAGTCCTCAGCACAATGAGCCTGATGACGATGAGGATGATGAACACATGATGGAACTTGTTATCCGGATGATGGTGACGATGGTCATGATGAGGATGAGGATGATGATGATGACGGTGATGATGATGATGCTGATAATGCTGGCGATGATGCTGGTGATTGTGAACAAGAGACATCGCCGCTGCAAGAGCTTTTGTCGAAAGTCCATGCATCTGCACTCCATAATGCTCTTCTTCGCCAATCTCGCTGCACAACCTGAGCCTCAAACCTGACCTCGTGCCAAGCCTGTGCGCGGGAGATCCAGGAAAGCCTGAAGGGTGGCGTAGACTTCACGAGAGTGTCTCAGGCGACTCCCTGGCATCCTAGGCGAAGTGCCGGGCCCGGTCTAGACTTGCCGCGGGGCTTACAGGAACTGCGGGATGACGATCTGATGACGAGGGTAGAGTTCTAAAGAACCATCGCAACCGAGTCGGCATTGTACGTCATTCCAGTCCCTGGTCCAGAAGACAAAGGGAGCCAGCCGAGAAGGAAAGTCAGGTTGAGCTTCCTCCCTCCTGCCGGTGCAACGAATTGAAAACGCGATCGAATCCTTTTGCTGGTAATTGCTTGTCAGTGTGCTTTCGGTCCCGGTAAGGACCTTGGCATCTATCATCTGAGGCATGTCGGGGCAACGCTTCTATCCTGGTTAGTTTGTTCCTGTTTGGGTTTTGGACACTCGCAAAAGATTTGGAATAGGGCATGTGCGCCTTCGGGTGCAACTGTCGGCTTCATTGGGAGCCTCGCTGTCTCACCTTTGGAGGCTTCAGGCCCTGCAAAATCAAGTGAACAGCTGCAGTGGTACTGGCAGTTTGCTTCGAAGTCTGAACCATCAAGGGCAGTGTAAATAGTAATGTGCCTTATTTTTTTCACGACTCACGGTTTCTGTTGTTGCCGCAGGGTTTTGGGGTGCGGGGGTAGGGTTTTGACGCAGCTAGCGACTGCAAGAACTGCGACGGCCATAACAAGACAGCCGAAGCTTCGACAGTCAGGTCTTGGAGCATCCGTGGGTGTCACCACTTTGCCACAAAGTGGCGGAAGTGTTGTAGTGGAACGCCATTTGCCCAGGTAGAGCCTGGGCGGGTGGCATCTGAACATACAAATCCTAGGTCCTAGGTTTGTGTATTGAGAGTGACGGCACTGCCAGAATTACCCGGAAAGTAAAACTATCATCACCACCATTGCTGTACCCTCCGTATCTCGTTTCGAGACCTTTGCATCCCAGTAGAGAAGACTCGATCTGACCGGGATGCGGGTTGAATCGGGGTGTGGACTCTTCGTGGCTGAGGAGGTCGCACCCGGATTTGCGGGCAAAATGAGCGCAAGCAACCCTGCGAGCTCCCTGTGCCATCTCTTTCCTTCGAAGCTATTGGTTTCGATCATCTGTTGAGCGCATCAAGGGGGGCCTCGCAAGTCGGTCCACACTTAGCTTACAAGTCACTTGGGTCCTGAGGGATAAGAATTGAGCGTGATAGTTCGCTGATTCCATCAGTGCAGCAGCACCACACGAGTGATCGGCCACTGACTAAGCTGAGCTGCGCTGTTGAATTCGTAGCCGTTCAAGGCCGCACTTGATGAGCACGGCTTTGTGTGTCTGGTGCTCCTCAGCTTTGTTGATCGCACAATTCCCACTTGAACCTGCAACTTTCTAAGACTTTTCTGCAAGCCCGTAAGTAAGCGCGGCGTCGCGAGTCCGATTTGACTGAGCTACGCTTCGGCCGCTTGGCCACGTGGTCCAGTCATAGATCCATGTGATTTTTCCGTATCTCTCTATTTACCAGCGAGAGCCATGTTCCAGTCCGTGCTGAATGCGCTGCTGCAGAAGTACGTCAGTCCTTATGTCAAGAACGTCAAGAAAGCCCCCCGGTCAAGTACAGAGCCATGCGGTTTCATTTTTGGTGGAACTCTTCAGCGGAGGTCCAATTTTTACGTCAATGCGCTCGGAGCAATTGACGTTATAGTATAGAGGGTAGTCGTACGTAGTATGTCGTGGTGAGATGTTCGTAGTTTTTTCTGCACATGTTCTTGCAATGATGAAATGCTGGGCTTGGAGCACTGAGCTTGAGCGAGTGTGGCGTTTTGTGTAGCTGAAAGAAAACTCCGACCTGCAACCCCAGCAGACCTGACAAGAGGTGAACCTGCGATTCCATTTCGGGCGCTTGAGCGTGCAGAGTCTTGGCAGAAATACGTCGACGTAGACTCATGACATAGACATGGCCTTTCCTCACATCTCTGGTTATAAGCATGTCTTTAAGCGCATCAGCTGCAAACCACCACTGGAAGTGTCGGCGAGCCGTAAGAGCCTTGAAGCCCATGAATGCCCGATAGGGCTGCGGCTTCAGACATGCTGCAGCCAACGCAACCTCTCGCTGGGCTACAATGTCCGAAGAAGCCAAGCAATCTTCCGAGATTCGCAGCCTACCGAGCCCCTACTGAGCTGTGTGTTGAGGGAAGGCTTTCGGCTTGTGCCTTGGACACTTGGAACGTCGTGCGATGCTTGTCTGGTGAATACAAAATACCGGATCAATGTCACGCTGTTCCCGCTATTACGCTGCCATGCGGAAGTTAAAAAAGTCACGAGTACTCCAGACTCTAACCATCCAAAGAGGCGGAGAGCTTGAGCCCGGATTCAGGACAGGCATCCGGCACAAGGAATGTCAAGCAGACCTTTAGAGCTCCGCTGTGCGTACTCACACCGAGGAATATGGAGTTAAAGCACAACCTTTGTGCCTTGCTCGGCTACGAGGAGTTGGAAGTGGAGGCCTTCTCAAAGCTCTCTTACAATATCGCCTTGCCGTTCTACTGCTGTAGGCACTGCAGGCCCCTTTGACCAGCCTTCCAGTCGAGAAATTGGCAGAAAGAATCCCGATAGGCCTTGGACCCAGGAAGTCCTTCCTTCCCTGTCTCAAGTTGCGGCCAAAAAAGAAAGGGCAATCAGCCTTCAACCTACACCCAATTGCAGGCTTGGAACGTGCTTCGGGTTTCAATGGTTCTTGAAAAGGGTTTCTGTTCCCGTAACCCAATAAAACGATTTTTATTATGTTTTGTTAAAAAGTGTCCACAAATCATGTCATCAAAGCATACCGTAGCGGATCCATGCTGGTTGCTGCTTTCGGGCGCGCCTGCAAGGATGGCGTACTTCAAAGCCTCGAAGTGGACATCCCCTTTGCGGCCTTGTGCCCTAGCTCTCCTCGAAATCGGATCTCCGGAGGGACTATGAATCCCTTAACCAACCCCTGAAAGTGTGTAAGAGGATGACTAACAGAGGAGGACGTTGGAGTGCTCTCGTCAAAGTCATGTCTGTGTTTCTTGAACCATCGCTGGGCTGACTGTGGTGTTGGGGAGTGTCGGGTCTCAGCCCGTCTCAGCCCGTCTGCACAGCGCGGGTGCGACATCTGGAGGCAGAAGGTAGGTGCGATGATGGGCTTCTTCGAGCAGTTCTTTCTCGGGTTTCAGCTGATTCGTGCTGCAGCCCTTCACTACACGCGCCGTCCTTCACATGCCGTTCACTACAGGATGAGCAATAAGGACTGAAAAGCCAAGCTCAGGTTTTCTGGCGAGCTAAAAATTACTCTGCGTGGTCTACACATGGACCTTCAGCTTCGAAGGCTGGAGCTTGAGTATGCCTTCGCTTGTACTTCCCAAGTTGAGTGTCGACACCATAATGTCTGCTGCAGCTTCCATTCGTGGAACTCTGTCTGTGCCTCCATGCGAGAGTAGCGCGGCGCATAGACACCGTGGTGCTGACGTCGTCTGACTGTGCATTCCGATAGGTCCGGCCAAAAAGCCGCTGATGAGCTCATCAATGAGATTCGGCAGAACCGCAAAGAGAGCGTCGAAATGCAGGTCGGGGGGAGGGGAGAAGGGTGGAGAGACGGGATGGGGATGATGTTGGGTCGGTTACCCAGTCCGGACATAGCTTCTGAGGTGTCAACAGGCGGGTCAGTCCGTCATTGAATTGATGGTTCGAGGCTTAGAGTGCGGTAGAGAGTCGCTGGGCGATGTTCTTGGACTGTCAGCTGTTTTTTAAAAGTCGGATCAAATTCTTAAGCGGTAGTCTTCTCATGTGCCACCTGCCGTCGAGCAATGAGCATTTTCTCACCCATCGTGCCCCAGAGACCCCTTCGGCCTCCCGGTTGAGCGGTATGGTGGTGTAGTTGTGGCCGCCATGGGCCCATATTGACTGTTGCGTTCTCGCTGTAAGTATCACAAGGTCAATAGCATCAATAGCTGTCAATCTATTGAATCTATTGTTCACCGGGCCATGACGAGTACGACTACCCACTCGGCAAGTTCGAGAGTGAGTGCCGAAGCCACTTGCTAGCTCTCATCGGAAACCCGCCTGAAGCCACGAACTTGGACGACCTGCGGAAGGCGGCCCAGCAGCTCGAGTCCCGCCGACACCAGAAACTCGTCGATGAGGCCAAAAAGCAAGGCTTGGTGGGGATACATGTGTATGTATGTATGTATGTATGTATGTATCTATATATATATATATGCATACATATATATATATATATGTGCCACATGCTGGTTCGCATACATGTGTTATGTGTACTCATATGTGTTGGTTTGAATCCATATACAGATCTATGTCTAGACCTAAGTCTGGATCTGTAACCATGGTTTTTTATAGCATTATCTCTAGACATAGATACACTTTTTGTTTCTCTTCCTGTAGTTTATGTGTAGTGGTAGTAATGTCTGTTGTTGTAATCTATGTCTTTTTCTATATCTATGTCTATGTGTATTTCTATGTCTGTCGCTATCTCTATTTTTGTAACGTTTATCGCTATGTCATCTCTATGTCTGTATCTCTTTCTCCATCTGTATCTTTATCCTTGTCTGTCTCCATGTCTATCTCTAAGATATCGGTGTCTACATGTGTATCTATATTGGTTTCTATGTCTATGTCTACATTTATATCTAAATCTATACCGTATACCTATACCTAGGCCTGTATCAGTGTCACACACACATATATGGTTAACGAAGCAAGGGTAAAGAAGAAAGTAGGTTTGCTGGTGGCAACGCCGCGGAAAAACGTCTGCGTGAACTATGCAACCCGCTGTGGCGCGGTGCATAGTTCGCGCCCGCGTCCTGTTATTTACAGAGGTTCTGCTAGAAAGCGTTTCCCGGAAGGCTGAATTCATTGTAAAATCCAATAGAAAAAGGCGGCCTTGATTCGCAGCTGTAGTGGAGTAAGCAAAAGCGCCATGGTCCTACAGCGATGCAGGCATCCGCTCACAATGAACTCAGTGACGAATGCGAGGATTGGCTGCTTCTTGCTCCCAACCCCCCTTTGTGACCTTGTCACCTCTAGCGATGCTCCGGGAAGAGATTGCCACCTCAGTCTCTGCTCTCCTTAGACCTGGCAGGGACCGCTCAGGCCCTGAACTGACTAAGAAAGCCCATGATTCTCCGCACACTGCTATGCGGGAGCCAAAAAAAGAAGCTACTCGTGCTCAACATCATCATTGCCGTCGTCATCTTCATCTGCAGTGCCATCAAAAGACTCAATAGCTGCAACCATCGCATACAACCCTCACAATTAAGCATTGTAATTCATGTTTGATGTGGGAACTACTGCGAAATTGCGGGTTTCCGCACGGTTCAGGGGGGGGGGAACCATAGGGGCAAGGGCAGGGGTAGAACCTCTGGGACCTATGGGCTTGGATGTTGCAGCCCTAATCCTAAACCTGGCAGCCTGGGCAGGCTCCGAAGTTGCTGATAAGGCAGGCATGGCCGCCAAGCTTGCCCGACAGTTTATGTCGAATATGATCGTTGACATTAGTCGCTTGGCGTAGTTACTGAGCATGCTGGGGGCTGTTGTTCCTGTACAGCCCCGGAACGGGAGCATGTCCGGCGCGCCACCTCGGGTGATTGGGTAGTTGGCAGTGAGAAGGTACCAAATGACAGGGGATGCCGGCTTCGCTGTGTTGCAGCTTCGTTGCCCTTGGATGTCTTTAGCGCTCCGAGGTGATATCAAGATCTCGATCGCAGAGCCTGATGAAACCCAAGCAGTCGTCGCGGCAGAGTCGCTTGCCCGAGTAGAGTGCGCTCGTTTGTGTTTGCTGTGAGCGGCGTTCGTTCCAAACATGCCGCCATCTGGATAAAAAGCTGGGGTGGTACCAGCAATTAGTAGGCTTTTAGCTTGAGTAGGGCAGGTGAAATTCTCGATATTCGTTGTCTTGAGCTTTAGCCCAGCCTGCCGCAGCAATTTTGAGCATCATCCTTAGCATCGCTATTCTCCTCCTCCTCCACTCCCTCCCGGGCTCATTCAGTGCCATACTCATGATCCTCACCCTCATGCTCATCCCACCGGTGCCACCATCAAAGTGCGGGCTCCAGTGTTGGTGCCAAGTTTCTGCCAGCCCTTCACTGCTGGTGGACTGAAGCCCATTGAATACCCCCCCATTGAATCTAAAGTTGTACATCTGGCTTCCACCAAGCACATGACAAGAGCTAAGTTCGAGACAGAATCTTCGTTCTCCCTGCTCAACAACAGTCAGAGCGTGTGACCTTCGGAATATTCAGCAAGTTTACGGTGGCTTCCTGAAATTTCTGTAACATGTCCAAGATGTGTAGATGCGATGACGCAAAAAAGATAGGCGGAAGATGATGGGGATGGCTTGTTGGCATGGCCCAACACAATTTTCATGCTGAAAACGTTCCTTTTCAAGCTGCATGAAATGGCAGCGAAGCGTTCAAAGAGCGAAGGAGAGCAAATTCAGAGATGTGTTGAGTGTGCGGTACTCGGGAACCTTGCCGTGAAGACTTTACCCTGCGCAGTGGCATGTTTGCCAACCGGAGACACGAGCTGGCAACTCTCGCATCGTTCGGGCTAGCATCGCAAGATATCACAACGTTGCCGATCGGCCTTGGTGCCAGCCAGACAGGCTCTCCCCGTTGCAGTGCGCCTCAACCAAGAGCGACCCCAAAAGCAAGATGCCAAGGTTGAAGGCCATCTTCGCACAGGCGGCAAACGACGAGGAGTTCGTTCATGGCTCAAAGTATGAGTTAGTTAGAGTCCGCTTCAGTTCTAGACTTAGTCTGGGAGCCTGCGGGCTTGCAGGCGAGATGCGAAGGTTTCATGAGCGCTGAAGCTGGGGGAAGTGTGGGCATTTAGAATGGCGGGCGTAGAGGTGTGGGTAAGATTTTGAGGACGTGCCCCGAGGTAAAACATGAAGCCAAACATTGCACAACCTACTAGGACATACATCGTGCGAAGACGACGGATGCCCTGAAGGCGGGCGGCCGCTGCCACAGCTCTGCTTTGTTTGTGCGCGGACGTGTTAGCGAAGTACCAATTTTCAGTCCTTGCAACATCTTGCTTGATGTCCCCCTGGCCTTATTATTGCCCTAGAGTTGTGGCACTCTGAAAAACCCCGCTTTATCTGAGCCTGCAGTGCAAGAGGAGCTATCTCAAAACCCCGTAGCTATTGAAAACGATGTGTCGCAGGCGATGAGGACAAAGAGTTCAATCATCCAGGTGGCCGTGCGGTCCAGCATAGTTTGTTGCCACGGGCCGGCGAGTTGACATTCTGGCGGAGGATCGGGAGCAGCGAGAGCAAGTCTGACTGGAGCAGATCAAGCATGGGCAGCATGGGTCACGTTCTTCGAGTTGGAATTCGTGCCCCTCATCTGATACGCCGAAGCAGTGTACAGATCTCGGAACGCGCCTGCGCCAGGCCGATGCGGACATTTCAAAGGCTCGCTGAGCGAAGTTGAGAGAAGCGCTTCAGTCGTTTCCTTTTCCAAGTGTGAGGTTGTTCAGTCTGGGCAGCCAGGCTACAGGCCACAGGTCTCTAGAGGTCGTTTGGAGATGCAGACTGCAAATCGATTTTTTCTGGCCATTGCGGCTGCAGGTGGCTCGCTGGGTTATTCTTATTTTGCCTTATGAAGCTTGTTGGGCTTTTGTTGTCCCACCCGCTCAATTCCTCAAAAGCAGAGAACACGGCTCCGCGTGAGACGTGCCAGGAGATTGGCTTCAAGGGCTTCTTGGTCACTTGCGGCTTTGGAGACGATGTGGACACGCTGGCGCGATGTTCTGAAAAGAGACTTCGGGAGCTTTGGAGTTTGCTTGGGATCACCTGCCGGTACGGAGCCACTTGGGACGGCGAAAGCAAGCCCTGGCCTGGGGGACATCGTAGCTGTTGTATGCGCGCTTGAACTGCGCTGATGCATCTTGCAGATAAGCCCTGAGGTGTCTTTGCAGCTGTTGCAGATCCTCTTCAACCAGCAAGACCAGCACACCATCGTGTCGTTGAAGTTCGGTGAGGAGGGTTCTGCGGACTTTGTGCGGCCTGCATGTGATCAGATCTTTCTGGATTTGCATCCTCGACATCTTCACAAAAGCCTGCAAGTCATGCCTTCTAGATCTTTCTAGGAGGTCAAGCTGTCTAGCTGCGGAGTCATGGACCAGACCATCTTTTGGCGGTGTTGCATTGAATATGCTTCGTGAATCGTTTTGGGAGGCCTGGCCGGAATATGAGCGCAACCCCAGGAAGCGGGTTCACATTCGTCAAGACTTTAGTTACCGTCTCCCGAGGCGTGCATCCTCGGACCAACTCCGAGCCCTTGTGACGATTAACACGTGCTTGAACCGAGAGTCGACGCGGCTGCAGGCACTTGAACACTTTTTCATTGGGAAAGTTGAGTAGTGGACGTATTATTGGCAACAGTGGTGGGGCTGTGCTTCCGTATGCACGGTAGCAATAGGAAGCGCCATCCACGTAATCTAGGAGTTGGGGTAGGAACAGAAGCGGGAATAGGATCGTAGTTTACCATGAACATTATTGATTGTTAGGGAGTAGTAGTGGTAGTAGTAGTCGCGGTGGTGGTGGGCGGTGGTGGTGTTGTTGTTGACGTTGTTGATGGTGGTGGGGTGGTGGGGGGGGGGTTCAACACAACAGACGGGGCTGCAGTTTTTGTTTATTGGATTCTAGCAGCAGGTAGAGACAAAGGCACCGTTGAATTAATCAGCACTTTGTCTCGACCCGTCGCTAGAGACATCAACTGGAGTCCCGTCTGTTGTTTTGACCCCCGTCCCACACCCCTTTACAAGCAGCTGCTGCTGCTGCTGCTCCTCCTCCTCCTCCTACTACTACTACTACCACCACTACTACTACTGCTACCACTTCTTGCACTGCGACTACTGCTACTACTGCTACTACTGCTACTTCTGCTACTACTGCT